AGCATCCATGCCTTGGAAGGTCGCCTCAAGGGCAGCCTTTAAGAAAAAACAGGGGATCTTATAGGAGAGTCCTCTTCGATTCGCTGAAAGAAGTAAAGGAGCCTATCGATCGATCGATCTATCGATTGAATCGAAGAGAACGAACGAAGAAGACGACGAAGGCGATCTCACCGGAGCTCTGAAGAATGAAGGGGATCAGATCGATGAGGTCCTGCTACGCGTGAATGGAAACCCTAGGCACTCCTTGGATCAGATCCGCGGTAACTGTAATCGCCGTGATCGCGCTCAACTTCTCCGGTGGCTGAAGCGATCACTTTCTAGGGTTTTGATCTCACTGCGATGGGAGGCTCTGATGGAGGTGAAGGCGGGAGCATCGTCGACTGCTCGGTTAGGATGATAGTTTGGGTGAGGAGAAGGAATGGATCATGGTGCCCGAGGAGGATTCTGGGGGCCGAAGGAGCTCTCGGCGTCGCATCTTATGTCGCCGAGATCGGGGAAGCCGGTGAAGCTTTTTGGGCGAGAAGATGCCAGCGTATGAGATTTCTCTCTCTTACCTTTTTGATCTGTTTTTAATTTTAGATTTATCTGCTATTGTTTTTAGAATGCATTACCTGTCGAGAGAGTATAAGATTACCATGAAAAAGTCACTCGAAAAGCAATTATATCCATTGTTTAGGTGGAAGCAGAAGTTGTGAAGCTTGAAAAGCTAAAAGCGATTAAAATGAAAGAGATCGTGCTGAAGAAGAGGACAGAGTTGGAGGAGCTGCGACGCCGAACTCATTTGGTTGAAAAAGAAGATATTTAATGTGGTAAGAATCTGATAATTAGGCAATTGGTTATTGTGCCTCTTATTCTATGCGGTTAATTGCGGAGTGCAGACAGAACCATGTAGTTCTATTGTTCTTAAGTATTTTTGATACATTCAGTAGGTGCTCAAAAAAGTATGATTCATTGCAGCGGTTAATGGTAGAGAAGGTTTCCCAGAATTGATAAAAGCCATGTCGGGTAACAATTTAACTCTACAAGTCAGGTAACAATTTTCAATATAGTATTTATATAACAACTTTGTACATAAAAATGCAAGAATTTAAATATGCACATATATTTCATGCTTCTTTTTTTGTATTTATATAGATTATGCTTTTTTTTGTTTATTTATTAACAAACATGAATGTCATTATTTGCATTACATCTACTACTTCACATCTAAAATAGAATATTTTATTTTGATAACATGTTTAGTATTTGCAGAAGATCTTTTAGAGACCGTGCTTTACACGGGTCTAAATACTAGTATAATTTAGTTGATTAAAAAAAGAAGTCTATAGTATGTAAGCGGATTTTGGATATCGGGTAGAAATCTTGTCCTCTTACCAGATCCAAAATACCAGGCCGACAAGGAAAACAAAGAAATAAAACCGCAATAGAAGGTGGAAAAATACGAAATTTTGGAAAACGCTCTATTCAAAGTTCCATCGGATCCCTGCAACTAACAACGGGTAAAGTTCTTGAAACTCTAGCTCCGTTTTGTTTCTCACGAGCTCCTGAACCTAAAATTTCCCCAAATTTGAGAGCTTTCCTTCGATCTGAACTAGGGTTTTCGTACCGAACGAGCGAACCATGGAAAAATTCGGCAATGACATTGTAGAATTAATCCTAAGACGAGTCTCAGATCGAGGAGATCGAAATTCGTGCTCTGAGGTCTGCAAGCAGTGGACGATACTTGAGGGTCTCTCGAGATCCTCTCTTCGAGTCCTCGAACCCGAAAGAATCCCTAGTTTCTTACCTAGGTTCCCCAATTTGACTAATTTAGATATCGACAGAAGAATTTCTGATGAGAATCTTAAGTTGATTGCACAAATTTGCCCTAATCTTCGAACCCTCAACCTTGGCCTACACCGAAGTGATTGGCTCAGAGGGTTTAGGTCAAGGGATTTTGGGGATAAGGGGTTAACTGCAATTGCTGAGAAATGTAGGATGTTGGAAAAGGTTTCGTTGAAAAGAAGGGAACAAGTGCGAGATGCTGGGGTTATTGCTCTTGTGAAAAATGCAAAAAATTTGGCTGTTCTTGATTTGGCTTGGTGTAGTAAGATCACTGATGAAGCCCTAGATGCTATGGAGGGAATTGTCTCTTTGGAAGTATTGTATCTTGAGGGTTGCTCTTTGATTACGAATTCGGGTTTGATTTCTTTGGCAACTGGGTCACTGTCGAAAAGTTTGAGGGTTCTTGATCTGGCTGAGTGTGATCAGATAACTGATCATGGTATCTATTTTATGCCCCAGATGTCTTGTTTGCAGGTGCTTAACTTGGCTGATTGTGGCCCGAAGATCACAGATGAAGGAGGCTTTGCAATTTCTGAGATTTTTAGTTTGAGGACATTGGATTTATCGTGGCTGATCAATCTGTCCGATGAAACCCTTGTTGCTTTTGCTGAGAAGTGCAAGAACTTGGTTGAGATTAGCTTAACAGGATGTGAATCAGTAACAGGTGAAGGGGTCCGTGCCTTTGCGAATCACGGGTCACTTGAGATGCTTGGATTGGCTCGTTGTAGTTTGATTTGTACCGAGGATATTGAGGAGATAGTGTCACGTTGTGGTTCTTTAAGGCATCTGGTGCTTGACAAGGTTTTGAGGGGATGGATGTCGCCTTCAGCGAAGGAGAAGTTGAGCATGTTGGATAGGGTGGATTGGGTGTGAAGTTGTTGATTCAGCATATCATAAGGTGCAATCATAGCTTTTTCTTTCTATATGTGGTTAATTGTTACCAAAATTTACATTCTTTATATGTTGTAGTTTCTAAGCTTTGAAGCTGACACAATTTTAGCAATAGTTCTCTTTTTAGATCAGTTGTAGAGTATACATAAGGTGCAGTCTTAGCTTTTTCTTTCTATATGTAGTTAATTGAACCAAAATTTACATCCTTTATATGTTGTAGTTTCTAAGCTTTGAAACTGACATAATTTTGGCACTAGATCTCTTCTTAGATCAGTTGCAGATGTTGATATTTGATGTAGCCTGATTAAGCACCATCATATGTGAACTCTATTAATGACTTTAATATACACTTTCATAAATGATGTAGCCACATGTTAATCAGGATAGGAGTTTTGTTTTTGTTTTAGATCTAATTTCATAGTATTAGCTAGTTAGATTTTGATTTTCACCTGGCTTGATGATTCAGATTGGGATATGAGTTTGATGCAGTTGATACTTAGCTAGAGTATACTTTTTGGGTTCACTTAGAGCTCCTCCAATCAACTCCCTTCAGTTTCTTTCTGTTGAGTCCTTGACCCAAAAATTTGTTAATTTTCTTCCTTTAACATAAAGTAAACTAGCACTTTTTGCCTTCCATGCATCATTTGCACCTCCGGTGTCCAATTTTTGTACATCCTCACCGATTTATTCTATCTATTTTTTCCTTTATCCTTTACCCATCATGTAACATGTTTTACTTCATTAAGTCAAATGGTACATCACTTTCTTGGGTTCCTATTGCATCACAAGGGAGAATGAAAAATATGAACTAAAAACCCATACCCTAAGGTTGTTTGTTTGTTCATCTTTCTTCTAATTGGGTGGTAGAATACTGTGATTTAATTGTAAATTATAAATGTGCATCATGGCTTCTAAACTTTGATAGTGACTTGATTGATCGCTTTTTTTAATTTTATTTTCTTTATTTTCCCTTGGTTCATTGTGATTTTTATCTCACTCTTTTGTAAACATCTATGTAACTCGGGTAATTCTAATCTGAAGTTGTACCTGTACCTGACACATACCCATATCCATGCTCGTACCCAAATTCCGTGGACACTCCGTTCATATGTGCATACATTTATTTGGGCATGTACTCAATCATATAACATATGTTATAATTTAAACACTTTTGATACACTTTTTGGACATATATCCTACACTTCACATCTACTTCTTGGAACTTGTTGGACATTGGTAAGGTCCCGAATTATAATCTTGGATGGTCGCTTGGATGTGTAGTTTAATAACTAGTGATTCTCCATTTTGTAACCCACATAATAAAAGAAACAAAAATGTTATAGGAAGTTTAATTCTCATCCATGGTCTCATATAATATATTAATTCCAATATGTAATATATGTGTACATAAATATTTATATAGCCGTCTATGTACCCTATCTTTTACAAATTTGTCGTGTTTCATAACTGTATCCCTGACAGTACTGTTACCCGTACCCATGCAACATTTGTAAACATATAAGCTTTTAGAGGTTTCGAGGTTAGAGAGTAATAGTAGGATCCTAGAAGCAAGATACGATTTGTTTCTGGGTACCTTGGTTATTCAAATATGAACCTATCCAGTCTAGGCTTTGTTTAGGCTAATGGTTTCCTCCCACAACAAACTTGAGGCAAAGCTTGATCTCATATGGTTGAAGAAGAATGTAGAAGATACACTGCTAATTTATAAAACCTCAAATAAAACTCTTTTAAGCTCTTCCTTTTGTATTCGGAACGTAGCCATCTCAGCTAAACTTAGTCCTTTGTTTGAATATTTGTTTTGTCATGGAGCATATGTTGAAAGTGCCCATTAACTCAAAAGTTCTATAGCATCCCTAGAATTTTTATTTAGCATTATCTTACAAAAAGATCTACCAAGAAATTTCTAGGAGGATACAAGTGTATATGGCTAGTATTTGTTCTTCTAGAAACTCTATTAGTATATGGCTGAGATTAGTTCTTCTACACGTCTCTTAGCCATCTTAAACAAACTATAAATAGGGATCTTGCGGTTTCATTTGATCAAACAAACAATAAGTGAGCTTGGATGAACAGTGTAGGCTTGTGTGAGTGTCCACCAAAATAAGAATAGTGTAAGGGTAATGTGTTCTTGTTATAGTAGTTTTCATGGTCTAGCAACCTATAAACCTTCTATAGGAGATTTGTCAGAAACTTGAGCAGCATCGGTTGCGCCTATAATTGAGTGCATGAAGAAAGACAAGTTCAATTGAGGGGAAGATGCAGCTCGTAGCTTTGCACTAATCAATGAGAAGTTGTCTACAGCACCAGTGCTCGCACTTTTAGATTTTCAAAAGGAGTTTGAGTTTGAGTTTGATTGTGATGCGTCCATAGTAGGTATTAGTGATGTCCTATTATAAGAAGGCGGTCTAGTTGCTTTCTATAGCGAGAAATACAATGAAGCTTGGCGGAAATGGACCACATATGAGCTAGAGTTGTATGCTATAGTCCAGTCATTGAAGCATTGAGAGTACTATTTGATCTTGTGAGAATTTTGGCTCAATACCGACCATCAGGCCTTGAAGTCCATCAATAGTTAAACTACCATCAATCGTATGCATGCTCGATGGATAACATTTTTTGTAGCGTTTCACCTTTATTTTGAAGCACAAGTATAAGTAGCAGAATAATGTCACCGATGCACTCAGTCGGAGAGCTGCTTTGTTGGTGACTTTGTAGGCACAAGTGATTGGATTTGAATACCTAAAGGAGCTATGTGTAGAAGACGAAGACTTTAAGGAGGTTTGGAACAACTATCAGAAGAAACAGTGGATCTTCATATTCAGGATGGTTATTTATTTCGTGGAGATCAGTAATACGTACCCTAGAGTTCACTAAGAGAGTAGATCATTCGAGAGCTTCATGCTGGTGGGTTAGGAGGACATCTAGGGCATGATAAGACAATTGTTTCCATTGAGGAGAGATACTACTGGCCTCAGCTGAAGGAGACATAAAAATACGCGTGGTGTTATTTAGTTTGTCATGTGGCTAAGGAGCAGTCCCAAAATACGTGTGGTGTTATACATGTGGTTCTATTTTTTTCCTCAGTTTTTTTTGGGAACGAGGCCAACCTAGTTATTTATAAAGTTTCCCTTTTAACAGTTTGCTTTTCTCGTTTAGCTGGGATGATTGCAATTTTTGTTTCTGTATCTATACAATTTTATTATTTGAAAGAATGATCAGTCACATTTATGAATCTTCCTTCTTTAACAGCTTCAAAAAATTAATCTAGATGTGATAGGACTGGCAGCTAAAAAGTATCACTGTTAATATTCAATTAAAATGTTTATTCAATATATTCCAATTTTGAGATAACAAAAATTTTCAAGGTATAACAGCTGAACTATCATGTTTTCTGCCAGAATAGGATTATCAACTACTAGAACATTCTTCCGAAACTACTAATATTTTGGCATTACTGCTTAATGGAATGGCTGATAAGCTAGACACGATGCTATTGAAGGTTAAGAAGAAAACAATTAAGGTCATAATGACAAACATGCTAATTCAATAGTGTGCAATGTTTCTTGTTTCCACACAAAAGAATCAAAATAGACACCATTTCCTGGAGCTTTTATGTTTAGTTTCAACTTCTTTATGTCCCCTTCAGGGATAGAAAGATTATCAATGCAGATCAGTCTAATTGGTGTTTGAAAGGTTCCAGCAGGCTATTATCACCAGGTACTTATTTGTCTCTTTTTCCCTATGCGAGCAATTTTTTAGGTACTGGCCCCTCATATAAATGCATTTGTATGCTCTGGAGAGGCTTACTCATTTTATAGTTGAGCTGCTTTGTCAGTCTTTGGTTTCATCACTTGTTGTTTCGTCTGGTTTAATAATATCGTGTGAGGTTTTTTTTTGACCCACCGGAGAAGAAGCTTCTCAAGCTCACACATTTGTTAACTTCATTCTCCTGCTGGGTTACATAATAAAGTTTTAAACCAATGTGAGCAACACTTTGGCTGAGCATGCTGTTGCAGTAGAGTTTGTTTGAACTTTCACTATTATTTGCTTCCTGTATTTTTTGTCCTGGTACATCTTGATTTGAGCTGCTCCAGTTCTAAGCAGCCTCCTGGTAAGAAAGAACCTCCTCCGTATGAGGTCTGACCCAAGACTATAACATAGTCTAAGATTTATTCACTAGTCAGTCATCATTTCTAAGTCTGAATGCGGGGAGCCAATCTATCTGTCTTTGACAAGGCACAGCTCTGTTACCATCAGAATTTGTTACATTTGAGAGGAATTTAGGAGTGTTGGTACAATCAAGGTTTTAATATTGGATATTCGGGAAACACTGGATGTCCAAAATCCATATCGGATTGCAGACAGGAAAATGCTAGGGATATGTAGTAAATATTTGAGTGCTATATTGGATGATTTGCATATATAATATGATGTCCAAAAATTAGTTACCAGTTTTAGTTTCCTGTTGGGTTTAAACATAAAGAAGTTTTAAACGAATTTGAGTGACACTATTGGTTGGGCGTGCAGTTCCAATAGATTTTGTTTGAACTCTTACTACTATTTCCTTAGTGTATTTTTTTCCTGGTACATCTTGAGTTTGAGCTGCTCCTGTACTTAGTAGCCTCCTGGTAAGGAACAACCTTGTATGAGATCTGAGTCAAGACTATTACGTAGTCAGTCGTCATTATTTCTGAGACTGAATATGATGAGGACATCCAGGCACGTGCACGGGACTTTCGCCGTGTTTATCAGCGTAGGAGACGTCGTATTTCAGCCGTGCATCAGATCGCAGGGATATGGTTCTGATATTTAGATTTTTTAGTTATTTTTCAGTTAGTAGTTGATTTTAGATTAGAATTGTTGTTAGTTATTTAGTTTGCTACTGGATGAGGTTGAGAGAGATTTGATTGAGCTTTCAAATTCTGTAATATTCTCTATATAAAACTTATTGTAATCAGAATTAAGATAATGAAGATTATTGAAAATTAGTGCAATTACCTGTGTGCTTGAACGTGTGAAACGTGGGTGTGAAACCTTAGATCGCTCCCCTGTTTCTCTTCTGTTCAAGCAGCCACCGCTTCCTTCTCCTCCTTCCCCAATCAGCAACCTCGAATCGCGGTCGTCTTCCCCCAAACAACCCCGCTCTCAGCCACGCCACCAGTCCCGAGCTCGTACCTTCTGAAAACCCGTCACGCCCTTCTTCGCCCTCGCCTTCGCCGAATCTTCCGCCCGCTCTCGTCGTCGTGGCTCCGCGTCCACAATCGCCATCGCGATCTCATCCCCTTCGTCGTCGTGAACTCCCTGCCCTCCACCACTTCTGAGCCGCTTCGCGTGTGTCGCCCTGCCGTCCGCTCGCGTCTTCAATCGTTTCGCCCTCGTTTCCTCAGATCGGAGACAATACAGAGAATAAATTGGATCGGATCTTTAGTCCAGGCCCAACCCACAAAGTAGCAGACCCGATTTGGTACAAATCTATTTGAATAGACCCGGTCCTTTATATTTAGATCTGATCTATTGGTTCAGACCATCTGATTTCACTTGAGTGGTTTATTTTAGTTCAGACTCAACCGGTTCAGTTGGACCAGACAACCTAATCTGCAGTTCGTTGGTGTATGGCTGACACTGACGCTGAAGACAACGATCTCGTGCTTGATCCAGAGACTGGTATTGTTGATTTGCAGCTTTCTTCGTGGTTCGATTATCGGACGTTCGAGAGTGTTCCTGAATACATCGAACGCGTGACTCATCGGATTGTAGACAGTGTGGAGAGCCGTTTGGGAATTAGTTCTTGGCACCGACGTCATCCAGACACGCCGCTTCACCCCAATTACGTAGCTCTCGGAGGAGAACTCCCGCCACTCAGATTCGGAGTTATTACACCACCTCCAGAGGATCCCCCATCGAACCAGTCCAACCCTACAAAGGTTTAATTTTCTTACGCCCAAGTATTTTCGGAATTGCTATTGCGTGCATGTTATTATCAATCTTAGTATCAATTGCGATTATGCTGTATTTAGTTTGGGTAGTGAGCGAGTGATTCCGTTGCTGAGTATTTCTACTTATCTAAATATTACAAATTGAACTGTATTAAGAGAACAAATCATTACATTAATTATCAGAATAATTTTACAAAGGTTCAAACTTAGTACATTGCAACTTTTGCTTAAAAACCATCGTTCACTTCATTTTACTCTTGAACTTCCTGTCTAGATTGATCGCTGATTTGGTGAAGTATTGTTGTCGCTGATCTTTCACCTGCATTCACATTGTTTCACATCATTTTTGGTATCAGAGCATGGTTCTAGGTTAGGAATTTTATTTTATTTTCAGGTTAGGAAATTGTTTTAGTTGAGTCTTTATAAAAAAAAAAAATCATCTCATTAGCTGTTAGTACACACATTTCATCTTTTTAGCTGTAGTGCATGCCCACTTGTACAGGTTTACCCTATCGATTGGGAGAGTGAAGTGAGTCAACTAGTGAGTCCAGCATATCAGGCAGCACAGATCCCGAACTCCTTAAGCAAATCGCTGAGCTAGCACGACAAATAGGTAATTTAGCCCAGGAGAGCCAAGCTACCCGCGAGATCCTGAATGACAATAACGAGAGATTAGCGAGGCTCGAAGAAGCACGTGTTGCAACTCCTCCACCGAACGATCAAGGCTTTGGACCCATCGCCCCACCACCGCAAGGCCAAGGTTATTGGCACTTCGCTCATCGACCCCCCACATCAACCTGTACCTGACTCGGACGCGCAATACTTGAGGAGCATTAAGGTTAGCGCACCAACCTTTGACGACAAGCTCGGCCCACAAGCTTTCTTGGACTGGCTGAAGAACATGGATCGCTGCTTTGATTGATATGCCCTGACGGAACCCCGAAAGGTCAAATTCGCAGCTATGAAACTCACCGGACCCGCCTGCCAATATTGGTCCAACCTTGAAACGCTAAGGCATATTAGAGGTGAGTTACCAATTACAACTTGGCGAGAAATGGCAGATGAACTGAAACGAAAGTACCTCCCGCCATCGTTTTATCATAGACTGTTAGACAAGTGGCATCATCTCACTCAAGGAACCAAGTCTGCGAAAGAATATGTTGCGCAATCCGACGAATTGTTTACTCGATGCAGCACCATTGAGCAAGAGGCACCAATGAAGGTCTTGTCAAAGTTTAGAGCTGGATTGAGAAACGACCTCCAAGCTGAACTCTTTGCTAGAGGAGTAGACACCAAGGTCTTGTCAAAGCTTACACATTAGTTCAAGATTTAGATGAAGCCAAATCCCATAAGAATCGGGACTTTAGAACTTATTCCTCCCAGTCTTCCCGTGCCACTACCTCTAGTCAGCCTCCGAGTCGATCTAACCCTAGTTCTTCCCAGCCTAAAGTCGACCCCAAAGGCAAGGAGCCGGAGAGAGATTTCTCCAAGATCGGCCCTCACGTCAAGTGTTATAAATGCCAAGGGTATGGACACGTTGTTGCGAACTGTCCGACCCGTCACAAGGTTGCTATCATCGATGGACAATACGAATTGAACCTGAACTTGATAGCGACGAGTTTATCCATCAAGTTGACGATGATACTGATGATTTCGACGATGATGCAGATGATACTGTCTTAGGTTGTCTTAGGCAAATTAAAACTCCCACCGTATCAGTCGTCAGATGCGCCATCTCCCAACCCAAGGCTGTTGAAGATTGGAGACGTACC